GAAACTGTATTCAAAATAGAGACTGTTACAGTTGAGTGATACTGGCAAGATACAATTAAATAAACTGTTATTGGCACCTTTTATTTGAGACTTTGTGGCAGCTTGGGAAGTGCTCTGCAAGCCAAAAAAGTTTATGAAGGACTTTTGGTAAAGTAGACTGTTTTGGGGCTGCAGGGACTTTAATGGCGGATAAATTTCTTTCCTTTCTATGAACTACAGTAATACTCCCCCTAGTGGAGTTCTGGAATTACAAGTGCCTGGGAACAAATTTTATTTGGACTATCTGCTGCTTTGTTATTTACACTTTGGAACTGTCCTTCCCATGGGACAATATATAATTTGACCTTGACTCATAGACAGGTGTGGAATGAGTGGCCAACCGAAAACAAGATCTGCTAAAACGAAAGCAAGACAAGCCCAACTTGTGCAAACAACTTTGACTACTCAGTCACGTAGATCATCTGTCCCAGCTGTTTTGGGAGTACAAGAAAAGGAAACTGCACGGCCTGCATCAGAGGATATGGCGGAGGGAGGATCGGATACCTTCTTAAAACAAATGCTAGAACAATTTGCAATATTGAACAAGAAGGTGGATGACCAATCGGCAAAAATAGACCAAGCCACATCCTCTATTACTAAATTATCTGACCAAGTTGCACAACATACACAAGTTATTGGGAATCTCAAGGAAGCAACTGTGGAAAATCGGAGACTGGCTGAAGCAGCCAATGAAAAAGCAGAACAAGCAAATCAAAAAGCTGAGGCTATAAAAGAAGAGGTAAGGCCACTACACAAGCACGTTAGCGACCAGCAGGCCTACCTGTCTATGGTGGAATTGAGAAACCGGGAAAATAATCTGAGATTAAGAGCTATCCCAGAGCTTGAACAGGAAGATTTAATTGGTTATCTGACAGCAGAATTTTCTAAGTTCTGGGGTATAGAAGAGGACAAAGATTTTAAGATTACAACTGCGTTCAGATTAGGAAGAGTCGTGAGGAGGGACAAGCCCAGAGACTGTTTGATTATTTTGAGATCCAAGCAGGAGAGAGATAAAATACTAGGCCTCCACTTTAAGAAATCACTTGATATCCAAGGCAAAAGAGCAGAACTTTATAGAGATATTCCTAAACAACTTTTGGATCTCAGAGCTACATATACAGACTTAGCAAGACTACTGAGAGGAAACGCGATTCCATATAGGTGGGAGTTTCCCCAAGGTTTATCTTTTAATTTTAAAGGAAAGAAAATTAAGATTAAAACATCAGAAGATAACCAGAAGTTCCTGCACGATCACGGAGAAGACCTTCAGAAGGGAGCAGCAGCCTCCTGGCCACCGCCACTGCCTGGAATAGCACCGACACCTACACCCTCGGGGCCAGAAGAAAAGGAAGACACCCCACTATAGGAACAACAGATTGATTCAGAATGTCTCTGCAGCTGTACAGTTGGAATATAAATGGCGGGAATTCCCCGGAAAAAAGACGAAGGATTTTTCATATTTTGAAAAAAGAACAATTGGATATTGTTTGCTTGCAGGAAACGCATGTGACTAGGCTCCATAGGAAAGTGTTAATCAATAAAAGACTAGGCCAAGAATTTATTTCATCAGACAAAGTCAAGAAAAGAGGCGTAGTGATTTATGCAAAGGAGAACCTGTCACCGAAACTTCTGTTTAAAGATGAGCAAGGAAGAATTTTGGCAATTGAGATACAAACACAAGGAGAAAAGTTTTTGATTTTAGGAATATATGCACCAAATGAGGGGAATCGGAATTTTACAAGAAGCTGCATGAGATAATGCTGGACTATCTGGACTATACTAACATCATAATGATGGGTGATATGAATGGGGTGGTTTCTACTCACATGGATAAGTCACAAAATCAAAATTTAACTAAAGACGGCAGACTACCTAAAACCTTCTTTGAACTAACTGACAACATGGACTTGATTGATATTTGGAGGACAAGGAACCCCTTAGGTAAAGAAGGAACATTCTTTTCTGAGGCCCACCTATCATGGACAAGAATCGACCAAATATGGACAACTAGAGGACTGGCACCTAAGATCAGAAAAGTGGAAATCTGTCCAAAGACTTGCTCCGACCATAATGCTTTGAAAGTGGAATTGAGACTTACTCCAACCGGTTCTTTCAGATGGAAAATGAATGACACCCTACTAAGAGATCAGGAGATTGTGAAGAAGGCCCAAAAACTTTAAAGGACTATTTTGAAATCAATTTGAACACTTCGGTGGAAAAGAGAACAATTTGGGATGCAAGTAAAGCTGTAATGAGGGGTTTCTGATACAACAGAACACAATCAAGAAAAAACTTCGGAATGGAAAAAAAGACAGGATATTAGAGAAGATAAGAGAAGGAGAGAAAAATTGAGACTAAAACCAAAATCAAAAGAGGTTTTAAGAGAAATCAAATTCCACCAAGCTCAATATGCGAAATTGATAAATCAAGAAGTGGAATGGAAAATTAAACAAATGAAACAAAGATCATTTGAATCGGCAAATAAATGTGGAAAACTGCTAGCATGGCAGTTGAAAAAGAGACAAAAATTGAACTTTGTCACTAATCTAGAGGTGGAAGGGAGAAACATTCAGAAACCAGAAGAAATTAGAAAGTGTTTTCAGAAATATTTCAAAAAACTTTATACACAAGGGCCTCAGGAAATGTCTGAGATAGATCAATTTTTAAAAGTTAACGGTTTATCAAAACTATCTCAGGAGAAGAGGACAATCTTAAATAATAGAATAACACAACAGGAAATAGAGGTGCCATTCAGAATATGCAACTAGGCAAATCTCCAGGCCCAGATGGACTTACCTCCAAGTATTATAAGACACTAAAAGACTATTTGATACAACCACTAATGGAGGTCTGTAACCAGATTATGGAGGGGGGAGGGCACCGGAAACGTGGAAAGAAGCTTTCATCACATTGATTCCTAAATTGGAATCTGAAAAGACTCAGCTTAAGAACTACCGTCCCATCTCACTCCTAAATGTGGATTACAAAATTTTTGCTGATATTTTGGCGAGCAGACTTAAAAAATACTTAATGAAGTAATTCATAAGGACCAGGCAGGCTTTCTCCCAGGGAGACATCTCTTTGATAATACTAGGAACATTATTGATATTTTGGAACTTTTACAAACTAATATCAATACGAAAGCTGTTTTAATTTTCATCGATGCGGAGAAGGCCTTTGATAATATTTCTTGGATGTTTATGAAGAGAAATTTGGAAGGGATGGGAGTGGGACGGGGGTTTGAAAATGGAATAGAAGCAATTTATTCTGAGCAAAAAGCTAAACTGATAGTGAACAATGTGGTGACAGATGAGTTCAAAATTGAAAAAGGGACACGACAAGGGTGCCCCTATCCCCTCTTTTATTTATTTCAGTCCTGGAGGTGTTATTGAACATGATTAGGAAGGACCGGTTGATACAAGGAATACAGGTCGGAGCGAAACAATATAAATTGAAAGCTTTTGCAGATGATTTGGTTTTAACATTACAGGAGCCAGAATCTAGTACAAAAGAGTATTAGAACTGATTCATGAGTTTGGTCGGGTGGCGGGATTTAAGTTGAATAAGCAAAAAACCAAGGTTTTGGGGAAAAACTTGACACCTTCAGAAATAGATGGGTTTCAGAAGGAAACAGAACTAAGTGTGGTAAAAAAGTGAAATACCTAGGGGTTCACCTGTCAGCGAAAAATTTGAATTTATTTAAAGACAACTATGAAAAATGTTGGCTGGAAATCAAAAAAGATTTGGAAATCTGGTCAAGATTGAAACTTTCCTTGTTGGGTCGAATTGCAGCTATAAAAATGAATGTATTGCCGAAAATGTTATTTTTGTTCCAAACCCTACAGATTGTGGACAGAGTGGAATGTTTTGGAAAGTGGCAGAAGGATATATCCAAGTTTGTTTGGCAGGGCAAAAAGCCCCGGATAAAGTTTAAAATACTAACTGATTCGAAAGAAAGAGGGGGGTTTGCCCTGCCGGACCTGAGATTATATTATGAAGCTGCGGCCTTCTGCTGGATGAAAGATTGGTTACTTCTTGAGAACACTGATGTCCTAGATCTGGAAGGGTTCGATAACGCTTTTGGTTGGCATGCATATTTGTGGTACGACAAGGTAAAGGTTCATAAAATGTTCAAAAATCATATTGTTAGAAAATCAATATTTATGGTCTGGACAAAATACAAGGACTTATTAGAAGGTAAGACTCCGAGGTGGCTTTCACCAGCAGAGGCCAAGGCCCGGAAAAAACCTAATATGGAGGTTGGTTGGCCGAAATATGGGGAAATTATAGAAAAAGTAGGAGAAACTTGGAGGCTGCAGAGTTATGAAAAATTAAAGAATAAGGTGCAAAATTGGCTTCACTATGCTCAAATTCAAGAGGTTTTTAAGTTGGACAAAAGAACAGGCTTCCAGGTGGAAAAATCGAAACTAGAGACAGAATTGTTGGAACCAAAAACCAAGGTACTTTCGAGAATGTATACCTTGCTGCTTAAATGGAACACTCAGGATGAGACAGTCAAATCAGCCATGATAAAATGGGCTCAGGACATTGGGTACAACATTATGTTTGAAGACTGGGAAAGGTTATGGACCACTGGTATGAAATTCACGGCATGTAATGCCTTGAAAGAGAATATTATGAAAATGATATACAGGTGGTACATGACCCCAGTCAAGCTTGCTAAGATATATCATTTGTCTGATAATAAATGTTGGAAATGTAAGGAGGCTGAAGGGACATTCTTTCACCTCTGGTGGACTTGCCCAAAAGTGAAGGCCTTCTGGGAAAGGATCTATAATGAGTTAAAAAGGTGTTTAAGTACACCTTTCCCAAGAAACCAGAGGCCTTCCTACTGGGCATTGTCGGCCAGAAGGTGTTAAAGAAGGATAGAACCTTTTTATGTATGCAACTACAGCAGCAAGAATTCTTATCGCAAAATACTGGAAGACTCAAGATTTACCCACACTGGAAGAGTGGCAGACGCAATTGATGGGCTACATGGAATTGGCCGAGATGACTGCCAGGATCCGAGATTTGGGAGAAGAAGCAATGGAGGAGGATTGGAAAAAATTTAAAGATTATTTACAAAAATTTTATAAGTTATATGAATGTTAAGAATTCGCATGATTAGGGAAATTCAGCTCCAGCAATAAGATTAAGGTATGGGAAACTAAGCTATATTAATGAAAGGACTAATGTTTAAAAGAACATTATATATGTTATTAGTGTAAATTGACAATAAGCATTTTAAACGTAAACCATAAGTATTTGAAAGAACAAAAGAATGCACAAAATAAGGTTATAATTTGCTGAAAAATTTTATTGTAAAGAACGCAAGGTGAGGGAGACGTGGGGAAGTCCGGTTGGTTATGGAAAAATGCTTTGGAAAGATGATTTTTTTCTTTTTCTTTTTCTTTTCTGTTATTTCTTTGTATATCCGACTTTGTATTTCTATGTGGAAAAAATGCAATAAAAATATTTAAAAAAAAAAAAAAAAGACTGGGCTGATTTTTATTTAACCCTGTGGTTGTCATAGCGGCCATTACTTTCTGAACTGACCCTAGAGAGCCAGTGTTAGCATTAGTGATGAATTTACTCCGGGCAATAAATATGACCCCCATCCCACCATGCCTACTTTGGGTAGGTAAGGAAATCATTGGTGCACTAGGTTTTAATTGAACCCCCAGTGAGGTAATTGCTAAATATCCTTCTCTCAGCAAGTACAGTGGTACCTCGGGTTACATACGCTTCAGGTTACAGACTCTGCTAACCCAGGAATAGTACCTCGGGTTAAGGACTTTGCTTCAGGATGAGAACAGAAATCGTGCTCCAGCGGTGTGGCAGCAGCAGGAGGCCCCATTAGCTAAAGTGGTACCTCAGGTTAAGAACAGTTTCAGGTTAAGAACGGACTTCCAGAACGAATTAAGTTCTTAACCTGAGGTACCACTGTATATGGAAAGGACCTTAAATAACAAAGAATGAACTCCAAGAATCATTTACTCTCTACTGCTTTTTATTAAAGAGAAAAATACTGGAAATTCGGCATGAAATATGGAACAATGGGAAGCTCATTATTGCCCATAGGGAGCATGAGTGATAGCATTGTGTTTTTGTAACTTGAAGAGATGTGTGGATAACTACCTTGAAGACTGCAAGGCCCTCAGACAGCATGGTGATGTGAGGAAGAACAGCTACCACTACCTAAAATAGGTATTTACTGTTGGTGTATGGTCCCTAGTGGCATTCGCAAGTAATATTATGTTTACATGCTGGGCCATGTCAACAAATATTAAATATTCTCCGCAGCTTTTATCTTAGAGCAAGAGGAAAGTAAAGCAAAAGAAAATCATATGGCTCCGTGTCTGCATTCAATAACCACTACATCCGTGAAGAATAAACTGAGCAGTGCTCTGGGAGTCGCTATTCAAAGCCCCTTTTATTTAGATTCACTAAACGTAACATTGTTTAGGCAAATGACTTGGATTCCCCTAAGTAACTATAATAAATAATGTGTGTTAGTAATAAAAATACTATCCTCTGAAAATTACAAGGCTATTCTTTGTGGGAATAAATGGCTCTGTCTTATTGCCTTAAAATAAGCACTGAAGCAATTTAATGCAAGAGTTTCTGCAGCGTGGGATCCAAGAGAGATTTGCTGCTGCTTTTTCTTTTTTTAAAATATAAATTAAGAGTAAAGCAAAACAAAAACTGATCCCTGCTTTTCTGGCTTACTGTGGATTTAAACTAGGACAGGAATTTTCACTAACAGCTATACAAATAATATACTTCATTTTATTATTCTAACTCCTCATATAAAAGCGTACAATAAGAAATAGGAGTTAATGAAAGTGAGCAGATATTCTCACTGTGAGATGTGAGGTTACAGGGAACCAGGCAGAGGGCCTTCTCCGTAGTGGCACCTACCCTGTGGAACGTCCTCCCATCAGATTTCAAGGAAATAAAAAACTATTTGACTTTTAGAAGACATCTGAAGGCAGCCCTGTTTAGGGAAGTTATTCATGTTTGATGTTTTATCGTGTTTTTAATATTCTTTTGGAAGCCACCCAGAATGGCTGGGGAAACCCAGCCAGATGGGCGGGGTATAAATAAATTATTATTATTAATTATTATTATTATTATTATTTAGCACCACTTGTGGTGACTTAATATAGCCATCATTAAGTGAGCTTGTACAAATGGGTGATATAAAATGAAAGCAAAATAAGACAGGGCAAAGAGCTAAAGCAGGGGTCAGCAAACTTTTTCAGCAGGGGGCCGGTCCACTGTCCCTCAGACCTTGTGGGGGGGCCGGACTATATATTTTAAAAAAGAAAGATGCAAGAGCACCACGAGCCCCAGTGGCTGCTTACCTGTGTCTTGTAAGCGGCAGGAGCTGGCAGCGGTGGGACGATGAGCGGCGCACAAAAGGGCTCTGGAGAGGGGCTGCTTAAAATGGCGGCCACTCGAGTGCTGCTGCTGGCACCAACAAAGCCCAGCCCCCTTCCTCCTCTAGGCAGGGCAGGGAGAAGCCAGGAGGAAGGAGGAGGAGGCGCTGGTGCTGCCACCATGTGAGGGAGAGGGAGGGAGAGGGAAAGAGCATGCACGCTGGCGATGCACATGGCAATTCCCGGACCGTCCACGGGCTGGATCCAGAAGGCAATTGGGCCTGATCTGGCCCGCAGACCTTAGTTTGCCTACCCATGAGGTAATGCAAACCAAGGGCCATTTGAGCTGGACATTTTCCTTTCCTTTCCTGGTTATCAGCTGTACAACACTAATTCTGTTGACAAGTACTGAGCCTGGAATCCAGGATCTTCAACTGGGAAAAGCTATTTAAAACTAATGGCGTATCTCTTTTCAATCAACCAACTGATTGGCAAGAAAAATATCAGCAAAAGTCATAGTTCTTTGACAATTTCTGCCTTAAAATGCCCAACTTTGCTGAGAAAAAGAAAGAATTAGGATTGAGGGGTTGATCTAAACATTTGACTTAAATAACAGAAACATATACAAGCCTTGGAAGCTGCAAGCTCTATTTCTGTAGCTCTTTCACCAAAAGGAACATTGTGCATTCCATCTACCCCAGACAGAGAATAAATGAATGCTTAATTTTGGCGTCTATGAATAACAGGCTGTGAAAATGTACCAATGGCAGCATCCCAAAATAGACCTGGAATGGTATAGTGCCACTGATTACTCCATTAAATTCTATATATGCCATATCCCACCACCCCAGCCCCCTGTCACTTAGTGCCAGACTTCCAAGTTCTGTGTTCTACAAAAGTTTTCCTCTTCTTCTCCAATGCCACAGACCCTAATCACAGTTTAGAAATTGACCTCATTTCTGGTCAGCCTCCCAAAGTAGGTGGACTAAAATATAATAAACAACCCAGGATAAAAAAATGTGCTTCTTCTAACTCTTAATATAGCCTTGCAACATATGATAGCACAGCTGGTTTTCATATTTTAAGAAATGTTACGTTAAATAAAAATTAAAATGGTAGCTAGGTTCCACCCTGTTGACTCTAATTGGAAATATAAAAACAGCTATAATTCTTTTTCTTTTACTTGTAAGTGGATGAAATTTGCAGAAAACAGAGCGCCTCTAGAGTGGATTAATACTGCTAAATTCCATGTAGTTTGAGCAGGGGTTTTCATGCAGGGAATCTTTACATAAAAAAATTAAATTAAAAAGGATTGGATGCAAATTACAAATATGGTTGTCCCTTCTGAGGAGGTGAATCCTGGCAGATTTCAGAAAGGTGAATTCAGTGGAGTATTCCTTAATGGATTTGTGAGGTTAAAAGTGGAACTGAGAATACACACACACACACACACACACACACACACACCAAATGAGGCTTTATATCCAGTTCTTATTTATTTTAATGGCTAATTCCCTAGGGCTGATTTTCTTTTTAAAATAAAAATGAATCTACTGGGGAGGTGTAGCCTGGTTTTATTTCTGCTTCATTTTCAACTGTTGTGAACTATGAAAACCTATTCCATTCCCCCCCCCTCTCTTTTGTGCAGTGGTGGTTGTTAATAAAGTAATTTTGTTCCATTCATGGCTGGACATTGTAAACAAACAGCTTCACAGTTGGAGCTCAAGATAATACGTACCTAATTTCCACCTGCAATTTTCAGTAATAAAATTAGTCCAGGTATATTTGGAAGGCTGCCCCATAATTCCCAGTATTGTTCTTACCTTTCTTCTCTACTACTCCAAGTCCAATTATAGATTATTTTTTATTATGTAAGCTCCTAATCATACACTTTTTAGGGGATTAATTCAAAGTCAAAACCTCACCTTTGCAAATGCTGATGTTTATGAACAATTTCAGTGTTTTGTGTACTTATTCTATGTCACTGTGCAATCAGATCGCAATCAAATCAAAATTTTTTCAGCTGCCTCAAGAAGTTCTAAAACTATTTACAAATTATAGGGTGAAAGTCCTTGTTGATTCTCTCTCTCCCTCTCCCCTCTCCTCTTTCTCTCACACACTCCTCAGCAGTTCAGCTTGGCATATTGGCACCTACATGGCCAGTAGGACCGACCCAAAATTTATTGCCCCTTGAGGCAAGCTGAAGTGTTCAGAGGTGGCCCAGGGAAGCTTAAGGGGCTGAGGCAGAAAAATGGCCAGAGATGAACAGGCAGCGACAGCAATGACTGCTCTTTCTCGGCCACCGGGCCATGGGTGACAAAAGCACAGAAGATGGCAAGCTATTCACTCTTCAGATCTCCAGATCTGCCACCCTTCTAGCTGTCCCCAACCTGCCGCCTCAGACAACTCCTTCACCAAGGGTAATGGGTTCACTGGCCCTGATGGCCGCTGTCTTCTTGGAGCTGATTCCTTTAAGGTACAGAATCTGAAATTAGCTTTGATTCCCGAGCTATCAAGACAGGATTTGTGAATAAGCAGCAGGTAGATGACAAGAGAAGCAAGTGTTCCATGTGACCTTCTGGCACGATTCCTAATATTGTTGGTTTTGTACTGTAGGTAACACAATGCACCATTTCTAAATTTGAGGGCACTTTGCTATATCATTTGGTAGTTAATTATTGTTCTTCACCTCTGCTTGCTACAAGCCTAGCCCCAGGCTGGTAATTACACACAGGGCAGGTCATGTTTCTTCTCATTCACTTCCTCTCACTGTGATATGATGACAGCTTTACATAGTTTTGGCAGTGGGTAAAGGTTACTTATTTATTTATTTATTTATTTATTTGTGTTTAAGGGTTCTTTCAAATAATCAGTGTCATTTCAATATGAACTGTGCTGAAAACTAGAGGGGTTTGTGTATGTAGAGATTTTCTAGCAAATTTTCCTGGTTTGAAGCTTCTTGGAAAACTACATTTTAGATTGGTTGGTTATTTAATTTCTATAACGCTTAAGTGAGGGGAAGATTGGGACAACTTGAGAAGGAAACCCATCTAGGAGAAGGAAAACTCTGATGCTAAGCCGTATACATAAAACTAAAGCAACTGAAACAAAATACTACGAAAACACGGTTACATATAAAAATGTTACAGCAACAAAAAGCTACTAATATATATGTAAATCAATATCAATTCATTTTCCTTCTGACACACCTTTCCTCTCAGCCTCCGGGTTCTCACCCAAGGTGCAAACAAATTCTCAGCTCACCCACATAAGTCTCACACCAAGAAGAGATCCTAGCAACAGTGGATATCACCCTAGTCTCTCACTCCCAACTTGCTTTTTAGGGGCAGGCCCAAGCTGGATGGTACTTCCTCAGACTGCCCAGACCTGTATCCCATTCAGCTGCACTCTCCACAGCCAGTTCCTAATACAGCAGGTTTATTGAATTTCCCAGGGCGTCCAAAGGAAGGCAAAAGGACATCTCTGTGACAGAGAAAAGTTAACATGTGATTTCATGCCTGTTGAAAACACAGAGAATGTTCAGGACCTGGCACACACACACAGTTGGGCAATGCCCATACAATGATACAATGGAACTGCCTGAGATAAAATAAGTATGTTATTTATTTAATACACAGACTCTGGGTTCAGATAAAAACAGAAACCTATATCATAAAATCATAGACTTGGAAGATACTGTGAGGGTCATCTAGTCTAACCCCCTGCAATGCAGGAATATTTTGCCCAACGTGGGGCTTGAACCCACAACCCTGAGATTAAGAGTCTCATGCTCTACCTATGGCGAGAAAGATCTAATCTGTTTCTTATACTGAGAGAAACCAAACCAAATCAGTGTGTCTGATGTAAGTCAAATCCACTGAATTCTGAGGACTCTTAATTATATTCTCTACAGCAGAGTAATCTCAAATTGTAGGATTTGTGTAACGATTATAAACAATATATCCCATCTTCTTAATTTGTACTGCAAAGACACTTAGGAATGCAAAGCTGGTGATAAACAAACAACCCTGGAACATAATGGATAATTTAAACAAGGTAAAAAAACACACCATGAAACTCAGCATTCTCATGATGAGGAAAATGAATTAAGAATGGAATAGCACACCCATTTCTCCCCGGGGAAAGAGTTTCCCACTGAAATCACTTACATATGCTGTGCATAAATAAAATTACAACACACAGCAATGCCACATTTCTTGACACAGTTGCCCAGTCCAGAGATTCTTTGTAGGAAAGGAACATTTCTTGTTCATTTCTGATGGGAAATTAATGCCCCTCTAGATGTTGTTTGACTACAACTCCTATTATTCCTGGCCATTGGCCATTCTGGCTGGAGGAAGTGCTTTGTAAAATTCCAATAAATGCTCATTTTGAAGGATAGTTATTTTTCAGTTCACATACTGATTTTTTCATTTACACAGTTCAAATTTGAGCAGAGTTTTGAGATAATATTTTTTTTAAATTGACTTACAGTGAAATCCTATACATACATACATACATACATACATACCCCCTCCCTTTTAATTCCAGGCAACAATTTTTTAACAGTTTGATGTACAGACAAGTCAGATAATCTCAATATAATGCTCTTGCACTCCTTAGAAAATGATCAAGAAGAAAAATAATCAAGAAGGTAAAAGTTCCATTATGTTGAGTGAGATTTATGCCCAGGTAAGAGGATTGCACTGAAAGGTTTAACATTGATGATTGCAAAGAATACTGTTCTGTCCATGAAGCCAGATACACAATCTAGGGGAAGGGAAGATGTGAAAAATAACAAGGCCGGTCTTGCAACTTTAATAGTGGTGTAGAAGAGGAAATTTCAGCTGGGGTAACATTTGTATAGAAGAGGCAATTTAAGAAGGTATAGATTGCACGTCAAGCCAGATGAAATTCCCTCCTCTACATATCTGTTCAGGAGCCCTGTCTTCTTTTGCATTTGGCCACCCTAATGCAATAACATTCAGCACATAATACCTACAGGAAAAAGCCTGATGATTTACAGGTTTATCAAACTACTATCTAGCCTAGGTGTCACCAAACGTTTTGAAACAGTGGGCACATTTCAAATCTTAAGAGTATTGTGGGGTGCCAGTCACAGAATAGCTGCCATGTGGGACATAACACAAAATGGCTGCCATCGGGGGATGTGGCATAACACAAAATCAGAAACACAACCACCACTGACAGCCCTATGTCTACCATCCATAGCTCAGTTGGTTAGAGCACGGTGCTGATAACACCAAGGTTGCAGGTCTGACCCCCATATGAGACAGCTGCATATTCCTGCCTTGCAGGGGGTTGGACTAGATGATCCTCAGGGTCCCTTCCAACTCTACAATTCTATGACTGTAAGAAATCAGTTACCGGTATGTTTTGCTGGTTCTAACTGTGAAGATCACAGAGAGAGAGAGACGATGTTGCTATCTAATAACAACAGGGAGCATTCCTCAGTAGCAGGAATAATATACAAGGTGACCACACCACATTCACTCTCATTTCACATAAATTGCTTAGAAGTTACCTGCATGCTTTGCCCCATAATTTGCTTTCTAGAAGAGCAAAAGCTCATTTCCTTCAAGAGTAAGTTTGTTGCATTCTCACACCTATGGATGCTTTCAAAGAGCAAGTACTTATATTGGATTGACAATTTAGGAAGAGTTGGTCAGTTAATATGGATATGGCTTTTTAAATCGACTGCCACCACTTCTGCAAATGTTATGTAGCAGGCCTTGATCTTTTCTAAGACTTCACTAGGTGATGCTCATATATTCCACACTTTTCACTGTAGCTGAATAATTTTGTCTTAGAGTTCTTATTTTCATTTTATTCTTAATAGGAAGGCAGTGGAGGATGCTTAATTCTGTTTACAGAGATCAAATTCTATGTTTGCATGGCAAAATCAAAGATTTTTCAGAACACAGAATATGGTTTAAAACATCTAGTTTAAAACATTGCAAAACTATTCAGATCGTTTACCTTACCAAGATGGTTACTATGGTAAGTAATGCACATGCCATGTGGTCTAGGGCAAGGATAAACAACATGGTGCACTCCAGATGTAGTTGGACTATAACTCCCATCATCCCTGACCATTGGTCATGTTGTTTGGGGCTGATGGGAGTTGTAGTTCAATAATATCTGGAAGGTACCTGAACTAGGGTCTGCAACTGGAATTATGGATTGCAATCTGAAACTAGGTCATTCTTAAGCACCACATCATTTAGAGGAATATTTCACCTTGGAGATGAAAGCAGTCACTAAGCAGACTGTCAGAAGGGATGGGATGTTTTGAGAAATACATGAAATAGAAAGGACAATCTCTTACATGGATATTGGCAGGGCTTTCAGAGATCATTAGAATAATGACACTTTGAGAGCAAATGGCATGGTGCCTTTTGCTTTCAGTATTGTTGCCAACAGTCCTTACAATTTAGTATCAGGGATGCAATGTCCAGAAAACTGAGGGAGTGCCAGTTGATGTTCTGCCCTGTTGCTAATTCTGAGTGAAAGTCTTGACTGCAAGTATGGAAGGGCTTCAAGGAGAAAACTTGATATTAGGATAAATGCAAATTCAGGAGGGGAAGATATGGGGAGCAAATGAGCCTCTTGGGCTTACCAGTCGGAAGGCCGCCAGTTCGAATCCCTGTGACGGGGTGAGCTCCCGTTGCTCTGTCCCAGCTCTTGTCAACCTAGCAGTTCGAAAGCATGCCAGTGCAAGTAGATAAATAGGTACCGCTGTGGCAGGAAGGTACACCTTCTACCTACTTCCTATTTGACCATGGAACTTTTATGTCTTGATTGTGATTTCATATTGTACTGCATATTTTGCTATTGTTAGCCACCCACTGCACCATTTGGTGGAAAGTCAGGATGCAAATTGGCACATCTTCCCTGCTACTGCCCTTTTAGGCCCATACACTTATCTCTCTTCCCTAGACTACTGTAATCTTCTTCTCCTTGATTTTCCATTCTCTCACCTTGGTCTGATCATCTGAAACCTTAGTAATTTTTCCTCTTTTATCTACCAACCTCATGAATGTCAAAGAGTCTCAATTTTATGATTTGCAGTGTTTAAAGTGTGACAGCTGAGAAGTTTGACCATTTTTTAAGCTATGAGTTACCAGCTGGATTATGGTCCACTAATGCCATTAGGTTTTTGCAAGACAGAAGGCTGCTTTTCTAACCATTTGTTATTTTAATGAAGAAGAGTCACATCATAAGCCTTGTTAAAAAGGCATTTAATCAATTGCAAAAGAAACAAAGATGTTTGAAAGTGAACATTAAAAGTAATCTCTGTCCATCAGAGCAGAAATCATAAGCTTTAAAGAAGCTTGAAGGGACAATTCCAATAATAAAACAATTATCCTGCTAATGAAATTGCAGCTTTTTTTTTTTATTGTTTTGGACACTGAGAAGTCTCTTCAGACATTTTAATACTTGTTATAGATGAGACCAGAGAGGACAAGGAAAGAAACTATTGCAAATATATAGGCATATCTTTATCCTTTAGCGCTGGTCAATTTGCACAGGATAGGATCTTTAAAGTTAGGTTAGTCCCTGAAGCAGCTGACTAGCAACTGAGCTGGGATTCCATCAAAAAAAAGTTCAAATGTTGACATTATTAATCATATGCAAGGCAAAATTACAATGTGACAATATAGTATTAAAAAATCAAAGGAAGCTGTGTGTTGGGCCAAAAGAAGAAGAAATCATAATCCAACAGTTGGGTAATACCCTTATTAGAATCAATCAAAAGACCACAAAATAGTGAGCAAGCTTTTGAGTCCTCCAGAACTCTTCAGCAGATTGGATAGTACGTGAAGCCAGGGTTGTGAGGAGAGAGAGAGGATATCTACCTTGACGCTGAAGCCACAAAGCCTATATTAGTCAGAGTCTTAAAATAGAGGGTACGAAGAAGAGCAGAGTTAAGTGGATTAGGTGCTACTCTTGGTACTTATGCAGGTTTCAAGTTGCACCTAGAATTGTTGAGACAAAGAAGAACTATTGATCCCTGTTTGATTTCCATATGGTGTATTACGAATTGACAGATTTGCCATGTTCCTATGAGTTATCTAGACCAGGGGTCAGCAAACTTTTTCAGCAGGGGGCCGGTCCACCGTCCCTCAGACCTTGTGGGGGGGCCGGACTATATGGGGGGGGATGAACGAATTCCTATGCCCCACAAATAACCCAGAGATGCATTTTAAATAAAAGGACACATTCTACTCATGTAAAAACATGCTGATTGCTGGACCATCTGCAGGCCGGATTTAGAAGGCAGTTGGGCCGGATCCAGCCCCCGGGCCTTAGTTTGCCTACCCACGATCTAGAATGATAGGTGGCCAACCTGCCCTATATTAAATCACTACTTCCTCAGGTGGCCTTTCTTCCAGTGTGAGTTTTCAGTCTGGAGGGCCACAGGTTCCCCACCTCTGATTTATGCTAATTGATTATATCTAACACAATTAAATTTGGATGAGATTCATACTTGGTTTGTCATTCTATTGTAGTTATGCACTATTTTTGGTAACCGGTAAACCTGTTCTATGCATTAAAAACTCAAATAAAGAGGGCTGGAGTGTTTTTCTTTCTTTCCCTTAATGCATTATTTTTCAAAACGCTACTTGAAATGGCTTACTTCAGTCTATCACGAAATCATGTCCATTGAATCTGGTCAGCATATGCCCAAAAGACAACAGTCTCATTTGTTTCTGCACAATTTATCAAAAAGATGACAAACAGATTGAGACAGCTCTGAAGCCAAGGACTGAAACACGCATCCCCTTTAAACACACATTCATAAAAGCTCTTCAATTTGTTCACCCAGGCTAGCAACATCTTCTGCAACGTGATACCCATTTAATGAACTATACCCGCATTAACTATTTGTAATTGAAAGGTCAAAAGAAAACGAGTAAATCTTGGTTTGCCAAGAGAGAATTCTTCTCCAGTTGTCTGTTTCAATCTGGAGAGGTAGATTTGTTTTAGCTGAGTGAACTTGACAGAAGTGCCTGCTTTGACCACCAGGCAAGCAACTAGCTTGATGACATATTCTTGCCTTCACCTCAAGAATTGCTTCCAATTGTCAGTGGCGGCAGAAGCGGAAGTAGATTGATGCTGACAATGGACTGTAACATCATATCGACTTGTGTAAAGATTTCCAATTCATAAGAACTTTTGTCATGTGTCACTGTTACTTATATTAAGACATCCGTGAGGGGTACCGTGATCAGAGGAAAGGTCAGCTGTCACGCTAAATACAAGACGTGTCACCTTCATTTAAAGGGAAACAGCACCAAACTCTTAAACTAACTAGGGGGGGATGACATCTGTATTTTATACCCATTGGACATAATTGTTCTGGCATGCGTGCTTAGCTCTAGTCAAGTGTGCTTTATTTTCTTTTTAAATATGATTCCTGTTGCACAAGCAGCAACAAGTGTTACACTCCTAATTTCAACAGGCAATGAGAAGTTCAGCGATGCTTCCAAGTTGCTGGAAACCACAAGAGGGGAGAATGATCTTGTGTTCATGTTCTATTTGCTCATTTCCTATAGGCATCCTATTGGCCACTGTAAGAACATGATGCTGGACTTGATGGACCATTGGCCTGATCCAGCAAGCTCTTCTTATGTCCTTATGTTCAGGATAAGCTTTGTAGGGCCTGCCTCTGTTGAAAGACTGGAAAATGAAGTGTCTCGGTAAAATATTTTTTAACATAAAAACTTGCAAGCTGGGGAAAAAGCAGCTAACATAAGCCACTTACTTAAGTTCCATTGAACTCAAGTTGGGCTGACTTCTGGGTAGATGTGGATGAATTTGTCACTTTAAGTTTATCTCAGTTTTTAATTTTTCCTATCCTAAATCCATTTCTCCTCATGAATATTCACCAGCCATTTAGCATTTCTCCTAACTAGCATGTTTTTGCATACTGTTTTGACTAATATACACATTTTAAAGCAATTCCCCTTATTATAATTCATTTTAATGCTATTTTCACTAATATGTGCATTTTATTCACACTTTTCCGTAATATATTATTTTGCTCCACATTGTTGGCTGCAGAACAGCATTGCAAAATTTACAGAGGTGTAGTTTTCAAAGGATAGCTGTATTTTGATTCTTGTATTACTTCAAGAAGTGTGAATTAGGTAGGTTGTCACAGGATTGCACTGTGAGTCTCAGATTCTTTGATGTCCAGACCAGGCATCTAAGCAGTAGAGAATAACATGGTGGGCTGGCTGCACTTACCTGAGCTCCCAACAGCTGAGT